GGCATACATGTATCTTCGGCGAAGAATCGTTTGCGTAATATATCGCCAGGACTTTGTTCGCGTAAGATCGTCAGAGGGAGATCGTTCGCGATCCGAGCGAGACGAAAAGGCAATTTTCATATCATCATCGGGAGATCGTTCAGTTTTCATATAAGTTCAAGAAACTTAAATTGCGGAAGATCGTCTGCGGGAGCAATTATTTTAACTCCCTGTAAATTTTTAGGAAGTTATAGATGGTACTTTTAGAAGGCCTGACATTCAATCCTGGGAAAAGCCCTGCATGCAACAAACGTTGCCAAGTGCATAATTTTTTTTAAATATGTCGCGGCCAGGTTATAATGCAAGGAGGCAATTAAGCTTATCTTGATCCTTCTCCTCTATCAGGAGGTATGTTTCTTACCGAGAAGATAATTCTCAACACATTTTCGGGTACAGTAAGTTAAATTAAACTTAATCGAGATGCAGTAATAAATATATTATTATTTACCACCAGAAAACGACTTAGGAAGTAGTTTTAAATATCCCACAATATAGGAGGGTCAAAGATAACAGTCGCTAAGGATAAAAGCCCAAAGGCCGGATTTTTGAAAATTTCGTCATACCCAGGAGTCGGGGAGAGGTAATTTTGAAAAATTAGTCGGATTTACACAATTAAAAATATTAATTAATTTTTAAGCGACGAAATTTTCAAGACTTTACCGTACCTGCCTGTCTGGCCAGGCTCCTACTCCCCTGTAATTTACTTTTATTGTGTCCATGTCACTGACATAGGTGGCCATGGCACAACTGCAGTTAAGAGCATTATATTTGAGAATAAAGTTGAAAAAAAAAAAAAAACAAATAAAAACTAATATAGAACTAAGATATGTGTGTGATGAACATGGGGTATTTGTGAATAATAACAACAACCAAGTAGATCCAGATGGCAACCTTTTTTGTTCCTGCTCTTTCTCTGCTGACCCTTGAGCTTACTGGGCCTTATATACAGGGTAGAGCCACAATAGGGCATTTACGATAAGAGTATACATAATTCATTATCAGAGAGAAGACAGTTACAATTGTTCATTTAGTAAGCATGAGCACTTTAAGGCAATGAAGATAATCAAAGTTATTCTATTCATACGGTTACTGTATCTAAGTTACGATGTTAAGTATCTAACATGAAATGCAGGTTCATAAAGAGCACAATGAAGATACATGTAGCTATAGTTTTACACGATGAGGATATTCACAGTTATTCCTATGGTCAGTATATCTGGGTTACAATCTTGAGTAAGTGTGTGTTATCTAACATGAAATACAGGTCTATAGTGAGCATGATAGGTGCTTGTGACCTATACACTCGTCCACTTTCCTTTATCTTCTCTTGGACACTTGGTCTTATACAGTAGGAACTTTTTTGCTCTGCTCATTTCAACAATTCTAATAGTTTTCTTCTATATTGAGCATCTCTTTTTATATGTAAGTTTTTTTGGCTGAGATTTTCAGGCCTTTATTTGTTCCTTTCTTTTTTCCCTTTTAGCACATCTTCATACTTCCTCTGACTTTCAAAATAAGATTTCAGTTGAAAAGGAAACAAAGCGTTTGAAAGTCTAACTGTGCAAGAAGTAACTTTGAAGACAGTGTTGTCACTCAAATTTAAAGAACATCTGAAAGTCCTTGGATAAATGCCAAGATCACTTTGTGAAGACAGTTCCAAAACTGTGGCTTTACCATTTGGATCAACTAGTCCGCTGGAAAGCTGGTTGTAACTGGGTGGAATTTCTGCTGTGAGAATCAAAAATGAAATATCTGCCATCGTATTGAACTAATATAATCAACAAGATTTTGATGTGGTTACATAAATGTATTATTATAAGCTGAGCAATAAACAGTGTATACAGTTCGTAGCTTGAGCTCAACTGAACTAGAAGTCCAGTGCCCCTTCTGAGGTACTCGAGGATCACACAGTTTTCTCCACCACATAACACAAGGCTGTTTCTTTCTTGAAGTTGATTTCTTTATTCTCCTTTTCTTAATTGTCCTTCTAGGTGGTTGCTATCTATCTCTAGGTGGTTGCTCTCTCTCTCTCTCTCTCTCTCTCTCTCTCTCTCTCTCTCTCTACTGCTATCTATATCTCTACTGCTATCTATATCTGTCTCTTAAATATCCTCTCATGCCAGCCACCCTACAAATCACTGTCAACTACCTCTAACTCTATTGGTTAGTATCTAAGTTAAGAACACACCCATCCAGAGGTAGAGGTCCCCCTAGGAAATTTTTTTTATGATTTCACTTACAGTCCTTTAAAACCTTATATATCGATAAAAATACACCCAAACAGGTACTTCTTCTGTGCTGTAGCAGCAAAGACATGCTTTCCCATCCTCAACTTTACAAATTCCTTTGAAATAATAACTTTGACCTCCTTTTCCTGCAGCATTCCAAGGCATTCAAAGTTATATATTTTTTCATAAAAAATATCAATTCCAAACATTTCTAACACGATGAATTGTTTTTTTCTTTCATTTAATTTTCTGTAATCGACACAGAATCTGACAGAATTGTGCGCTTTTGGCACTATAAGGCAGGGTGAACTCCATTGACTTTGACTGGGTCTTATTATGTCATTATCAAGGAGAAATTGGATTTCTTTGTCGATAACATCGCGCTTTGTCAGAGGTGTTCTATACGCATGCTGTTGTACCGGATCGTTATCGCCCGTGTCTATAATCATCGGGATTATATCACACTTTCCTAAAGGATTTTTATCGGTGCTAAAAACATCGCGATATTCGTTGATGAGTCTATCGATTTCCGCGTTGCCCGATGGCGTCGGTTCCTCTCTGATCTCCGCGACGTGATGTGGCCCATTGTACTCTTTCAACGGCCAATCTTTATTGAACAAGCACATAATTTTTCGCGGGCAATCTACTCCCACTCCCACTCGACCTCCCACAGCTGTCGCAGATGATCCAGTCATAAAATTTGTAAAGTACAGAAGGGTGTACAGTCGGCCGTCTGGTGTATATCTTGACGTCATGCAACATGCCGATGACGTTGGTCAAGTGGCCGTGCACCGAATTTTCCATGTCCACAATCACGGCCACATGACATTTCTGTTCAGCCAACACAGGGCCCATGACTTGAAGATACGTTAGGAGCACACCTCCCACTCGCCCAGCAAACCGTACCCCACAGCCGTCACCCACCAGGCAGGGGTTGTCCACAATAATCAAGTTGGGCTTATCTTTCTCCACATGGGACACAGCGCCCCGGAGACACCCGACGCTGCCTTGCCGTGCCTCTAAGGTGGTAACTTCGTCCACATCTACGAACGGCGGCTGGTCATCCGGACCGCACCACTTCTCGGTCCACTGAAGCCTCTCATCATCGGCAATAACGCACACGTGCATGGTGTAATGTTTTGTGAGACAACGAAAGCATGTACGCGGGGTAACAGTGAGATACCCACTTCTATACACGTTCGTCGCGTCCGAGAGACAAAGGCGACAAAGCAGATACAGAAACCTGGCAATTGACCTGAACATAGGGTTACAGTAACCTGTTCTAGAAGTTAGTTGTGAAAAAGCACGGGTACCGTGTCATAATTATGATGGTACATAACACAAGCAATGATACTCGTTATTAGCTATGCCGCAATAATAGCGAGTAGAGACACGTAATTAGACAGCGCACAACGCGCCACTTAAGAATATATGATTTAGCAAGTTAACAACCCTTTTGTCGGTGTTTCCCGATATGGTAAAAATATTGGATATTTTTACTTGTAAGGAAGGGACGATTGTAACGTACCGATCTTAATAATTAAGCCATATCAGGATTCACCGACAAAAGGAATAATTGGAGAGTATCATTATCAAAAGCCACCGACGTTGGGCCGCGGCAGTGGTGAGGATTAGCTCGTTAAGGGGTCGTTTTGTCTCAGATGTCG